GCTGTACTTTGAAAAAAATGTTCAGTGTCTGAATTTTAGCGGGGTCGTGGCGTGCACTTCCGGCGCGGTTAATGAATCGGGGTCCAAAAGTGTCGCGAAGCGTGTCAAGGGTCAGGAGGATCGATTGCTTTTTACACCGTGCGCCGCTTTGTACCCTACGAGACAAAAGTTTGACAACCAGCCGGATTCTTCTCTCCCTCTTTATTTCGAGGTTCACCCCGTGTCGAAAAAAGGGGCACGTGAAAACGAGGAGAACGGTGGAAAAGTGGGGAAGTAGACGGGGGGATGGAAACTCGATTTTTCGATTGGCATTTATGCGGCGATGGAAACGAGCTTCGAGTTCTTTGTAGCGGCGCTTTTTCGAGTAGCGAATCGAATCGACGGCCGTTTTATAGTGTTCCACACGAGTGTCGGTTTACATCGAGTGTACACGTGGATTGAGTACAGCACAGATATTATTATAGTATTTTCGCGAATGGGAAATTGTGTTGGTGAGTGCAGGTGAAGAAATTGGAGGTTTTATTTTTAGTAGGACATTTTTGCATTGTGGTACTTTCGGAGAATGGGAAATTTTGGCTGAAACAATACCTGTGGGTAAATAAAGCGGAACTTTTATTTTTGGCAATCGATTCTTTGTATTATAGTATTTTGGCGAAGAGGAAGTTTTGAGAGAAATAGTAGACGTGCACAAAGAAATTGGAAGTTTTATTTTTAGTAGAGGATCTTTTTTATTTGGCTACTTTGGTAAATGAGAAGTTTTGTCGGGGAGAATGTTTGTAGGTAAAGAAATTGATTTTTTAGTATCTTCGAAAGTAGGAAGTTTTGACAAATAAAGTGGAACGTTCATTTTTGCTAACTGATTCTTTATGTAACGTTGTTTAGAAAGTAAAAAATTTCTTAAGAAAGAGTACTTTTACTTGAAGAAAGTGGAATTCTATTTTTAGCGACAGATTTTTTGCACCGTGTTATTTCGGAAAGTGAAGAATTCTGTGAAAAAAGTGAATTCTTCCTTGAATGAAACCTAACCTTAATTTTCTTATTGTAATACTTTTCAAATTAAGCGAGTGTATAAAACGAGACAATTTTTATCCACTTTTATCGAATTTCATTTTGTTATTGTAACATTATTAAAATTGAACTGTGTATAAAATAAGGTGCTTTCTCTGAACTTTTATAAGATTTTATAAAATCATCGAGAACGTTTAAAAATGTTTGAAAATTAATTCAAGATATTATAAAACTTGCAAATTATATTGAACTTTTTTGTATCTATTATCTAACTTTCGACACATTGAACGAAGCAAAAGAAACTTATTCTCCTTAATTATTTTCGCAGACAATCAGAACAAGTTAAACTAATTGAAACTGCTTTAAAGTACCACATGTCAATTGTATTAACACTTCGGTACGATTTTATGAGAAGAAATATAGCGACAGTGTATCAATCTGTTGCAGGTATGGCTCTGATCGCGATGTGCTTCAACTTGATGCAAGAGGAAGTGCTCGCGAAGGTACGCGCGTTCGTGCGTACCATTAAATACATATTTCGATGCGACAGGTGACCACAACCGGTCTCAGCCACGTTCTGCGCCTCTATAACGTTCGGTAAGTCGAATCTTGTCACGTTTTATTCATGATATCATCTCGTGTCTGTGGCAATCGTCCCTCTGGCTTAGCTGGTGAACGATCACGACGTCTGAACAGATCGAAATTTTCGAAGGAACACGAGCGAAAATATCAGAAATATTCCAAACTGTTGCAATAAAAACCACCTATGATTTCAGTGATAAAAGTCTTCTATAAAATTCTCTAAACTCTTTTTATGAAGGAAATTCAATTGTTTCTTTTCTGGAGAGTGTAAAAATAATTTATCTGATAGAAACGAATGATTTCTTTTTCCATTTTTTATCTATTTCTGATAGATGTTAGTGAAAAATCCTTCTAACCTTTAGAGCAATTTTAATATTTTACACATCAGGCAGAAGTAAGAAGTATTTAAAAAAATTGCGTTACATACACAGACTAGCCGACACGGCGGCGCCGAGACATCCGCCTAGGGCTCACCCCCTTGAGATAAAATAAACGAACGCGTTTCGTTCTCATCGGAAAATTAGGCCCCCCACCACCAAAAAATACAGATTTCTGGGTATATAAGGGCATGATTTCCGATGCTCGGGGGCAGAGTCACTCTGAACTTTAAAGTAGAGCAGTATCCGTATAGTCGCCGTTTGACACAAGCAAGATCGGGCTGAATTCCCTTTCAAGCATCCGAGTATAATACTTATCTCGTAAGTGTCAACTAGACATACTTGTCTACGACGTCCCCGCGTACTCACCGCGTAAAGTCGAGAAGGAAGATTCTTGCTCAGCCAAGAATCAACCAATATACTTTACCTTTAGACCATAGTAAACTTTGTAAACTCAATTATTATTATTAGAATATAGTTACTGTAGAATTGCTCTAGCCTATATTCAATTAACCATCTCCTTGTAACATTAGTAACGAATCAGCTAAACTCACAAGGATATATCTCTACCGCTCGAGGTATATCCGACATTACGATACTCACTGTCCTCACAACCACCCAACCTTTCCATCCTTCGGAGAACGGCGTAGTAACCACATGCGTTCCAATCCTATCGGACTTGTTGGAGTACGACGTATCATCCAGATACGGTGAGTGTTCCGACCGGTCCACCAACCCAAAGCAATATTACGCTCCGTGTGAGGACACGACAAGCGTAACCTGTAACAGCGTTGAGGAATTTCGAGAAATTTCATTTTCTGGAGAGGAATAATCTTTATAATGTAGGCATTTTGGGACGGTTTATAGCTTGGCCTGCGCCTCTTGGCGAGTGACAAACACCAGACTCGGAGTACCCATCGGTTCGGCCCAGCGATATCTTGGCCATTCGACGGGAGTCGGTTCTTAGCTTCGGTAATAGACGGACGCCGAAGAGTCCGAAATAAACTACTTTGCACGACATCCTGATTTGAGTAAAGTTCATTAGACCACCTCCTACAATAATAACCTTTAAATATATAGAAACTTTAGGAACCAAAGTTATCATTTCAAATTTCTTTTATATTATAGACGGACGCCGAAGAGTCCGAAATAAACTACTTTGCACGACATCCTGATTTGAGTAAAGTTAGACCACCTCCTACAATAATAACCTTTAAATATATAGAAACTTTAGGAACCAAAGTTATCATTTCAAATTTCTATGATATACCAATTCTTTTACAGAATAGAAATTAATAGTTTTACACAGAAAAATCGTATTGAAAAGTTAAAAAGAAATATTACTTGAACAATGTTAGTAAACAAAAAGAAAGGAGACACTTTATCAATTTTTCAACAGTTTGCAGTTGATAGACTCTGAATTCCTACGTTTCTGGTTTACTCTTCAATTCAGTCGCTGTGAAAGCCACGAAAGAGACAAGAGATACGCGAGACATTTTGGAAAAAAATGCAAGACGACGACTTGGTACGCGAGAAAACGCGAGAAATGTTGTTTCTGGCTGCGACGACTCGCGGAATAGATGGTGGGTGAAAAAGATAGATAGTAGGTGAAAAATGAAGTCTTCTTTCGAGAGGAAATATAATGGGGGCGCGAAACGATCGATCGACGGGAATTTAGCGCGTCGAAAGATCGAGCTCAAATGCTCGTTTATGCTTTCAAAGACATTGCTTTCGTTTCCCTCGAACGATAAAATATCCACCATAAAGAGGAGCATTAAAAACGAACAATTTTATTATAATATGGTAGCACTTAAATTGATCTTTAAGTATCTGCACTGTTAATGTGAGCAATTTATTTTTGCATTAATTTTCAACATATTTCAAAAGTGTAGAATTATGAAAAAAAATTTTTAAAGAATGTCCTTCGAAGGCAGACAAATTTTTTAAGCTTACCGCAACAGAGATTATAATTTTGTACAGCTACAGTTCTTCCTTTTTTGTTTGAAAAATGTAACTGGAATAAAATGTGCGATATAAATATTGAATTAAATCTGGAAAGATGGATTTTTAATATTAACATTCTTAATTGTTGAAATTTATAATTTTTAATCAATTTTTTCGTTCTTTTGCGAAACGTAATCAGAACAGAATATGCGATACAAATATTGAATTAAATTTTGGAAATTAACGTATTCAGTTATTAAAATTTATAATCTTGAGTTATAATAATTAATATATATTACAATACATAATTATAATAATTAATATTTGCAACACCCTTTAAATTGATATTTTTAATAATCAATCCTAAATGAAGTGTCTAAAAATAGGAAAACTGTTTAGTAAGAATTTTCGCGATACTCGCTTCGTTATATTTTGCAAAGAAGACCGGTGTTTCAACGAGGAATTTAGGTTACACCATTAAAAGCAATTAAGCAAGTAATCGCTGGATTGCTTAATTCGAAGGAAGTTTCATAGTTTTAAATGAGAAAAAAGGAAAATTTTGTAACGGTGTTCCCGAAGATTGCCGGGCGAATCAGCGAATATCTCCAACTTTCGTTAGACGGTGTCGTCTTTTTCGGCCATTAAAGGCCGCTTTAGAGGAGACATAGCCCCGGGTAAAGTCGCTTTAGCGCCAACCACGAAACTTTCCTCGAAGGAATCAGGCATTAGTGCATCTTTGGAACGGCCACATAGAGCCCAGGCCGAGGAAAATAAGCATAAGCGTTTTCTTTCTTCACTTTCAGTGGAAAGCAGTTCACCATTTCAAGAGGATATCCCACTGTTACTTTATCATAAAATCTTTCTCACCAATTTCAACAATTTTACCATAAAAGTGAATAAATAAAGATGCAACAACAAAAAATTCATAAAAGACGAAGATTTTTCAACGACACCACGTTTCAAAGTTCTTCAACGAATATTCGCACATTTTTTAATCCTTTGACGCCTGAACAAGCACTGACACTCACTCACAATTTTCACCCTTTCAGTTTTAAATTAACCTGTGTATAAAAATTTGAAGCAACCGAACACGGTGCATTATTTTTCTGTTTTTTTTTTTTATTATCGACTTTCAAATGAAATTCAAGGGTAAGTAGCTCAGGATTCGAGCAATTGATTCTCGATAAAAAGTACAATATAAAAGCGTGTAAAATGAAAATCTGCTGGAATAATTTATTATTTCACGATGAAAAGGGACTAATTTTTCACGATTCGCAAGTTGAGAAGGATTAAACGATATTCTCGTGCGGGAAATCACCATTTTCCGACTGATTTTATTAACAAAAGGGGCAAACCAATAACGAAATCATGTAGAAATAGCGGGATGAAATATCATTTCGTGATAAAATGGGAACGATTCCTCGTGATTTATGACTGGACGAAGATTAAACGGTCAGAACTCAAAGATTCTTCTTGGAGAACGGGTGGCCGCCATTTTCTGCGAAGGAACGCGCGCGAAAATTATGATTCTATCGGCCAGGTTGACGCGACGACGTCTGTTACGCAAATAGCGGACGAAAAGGATAATTTTCGTTTTTCTTTTCTGCCCCTTTTGCAACGTGCTGCACGTTCGTTCACCGGGGGAGGGGAAGAAAAATTTGAAAGGGTGCAGAGTATGAAAGGGGCAGAAAATAAAGGGACCACAATCGTCGAAGGTACAAAGAACTCGTCTTTGAAATCTCAACGCCTGGCTCTTCGTCCCAAAAAAAAAAAAAAAGAAAGAAGAATGAAGAAGAAAAAGAAAGAGAAAGAAAGGAAACGTCTAAGCTTCTTCCTTCTCACCGAAATAGGAGGAAAGGGAAATACTTCGTACGGAATTGTTATATTTCGCCCTGAAACTTTTCGTTTGCCCGAGTTCCGAACAATTAAACCGCTTCTCTGTTACTTGGGCTTAATATCCGAATGGCCATCGTCAGTCTCGCTACTGTCCCTTTGTTTCACGACTGAGAGGACCAAATTTGTCTTGAAATGGTAAATATTCTGGCTATTTAAGAGAATTATTATATAGTACATTGTTTGAGGGATAATCAACACGTTCACCTTACAAGGAGTACCAGTACTTAACTTAATCGTTGAAAAAAATGTTAAATTATTTCACCTTTTTTAGGCTCTCTTTACATTTTAAATAACACAAGCATACTCTTCTTTCCGCATCAAAAATACATGCGTACATGTGGAAAGGTCGAAACAGGCAACTGTCACTTTCTAATCACCCAACCAATCCTTCAACACAGATCAAAAAATTTGAAAAGAAGAAAAAGTTGAAAAAGAATCACACCTCTCGGTAAAAGATCTAAGTAATCAGCAACAAAATCACTAAGAAAATATCATACCCTTCCTGAAAAACCGTCGAACCTGAATTCCACGAGCCTACCATCCCTTCCAACCTCCCCTTCTCGACGAAACACAACAATCAGCCACCCAAACAGCGCGCAGAGGACGAAAAAATCGCGAAACAGAGGCACGGTGGCGCGTGGCCTCGGCCTTCGGCGTCCCATTGCCCGAAGAAGGCGAAGAAGACGGCCTGTTGAGGGGAGTATACCGCGACGGGGATGGCGGGGGATGGTGTTAGAAGGGTGAAAGCTGAAGGA